TATGGTATTTCAATGCATCTTTTGCATGGATTCTTTAAAAGGATCTTCTTCCTTAACAGGTATTGTTTAACTACCAACTATTGGGAAAACTCTCTTTCTTCACGCACTTAAGTGTTAAATTTTTTTAGCATGTGTTGTAAAAATTATTAATTTTGATTATTGGCAAAAATGAAATAAAATTTAATTAAAAAAAATCCCTTTCTTTTACCTCCCTTCCTCCCTCCCATCCTCTGCATTATTTGCGAAATTCTGCAAATATCAATTTGATATTATGTTATCAATGCGAGAGTATAATCTCAAGATATAGTTAAAGTTTATAAACTTAAAGGGTTGATTCATATTTTACCTTCGTAAACAAAACAAAAACAGAAACGCGACTTAGACGTGACAAAAACGAAGTATGTATGTTTGTAGAAAATAATAATTTTTATAAACTTTTGTTAAATTTTTAGTTTTATATTTCTAATTTAATTTTTTAGAAAAAAAAATCTTTACTAAAATAGTTTTAACTTATGCAAAGTCTTTTGTACAAATATAAAATATTTTTTAAAACGCATTGTTTAAGTTTTCTTGAGTTTTACTTTTTAAGTAGGCAAAAAGCGAGATGCGTTTTTTACTTTGTTAGTTTACTTATATAAAATACGACTCAAATAACTTAAAAGATATTAAATTTGAGTTGAAACTTGTTTTGAATATAATAAGATACTCAAACTTCTATGACAAAAATAAACTGAAATGCAACCTACTTCGAAACAATTCAACTACTAAAAACAAATTGAAGATAGATAAGGATGAAACTTTAGATGCAAAAAGAAATAATACCAACTTAAAAATAGATGAAACCTTCATCAATATTGATGTTTTCTCATTTGTCCTCATTAACTGTTTCCATCTTTAATAAAAAAAAAAAAAAAAAATCAACATATATAGCTAACAAATATATAGCTAATATAATATAGCATAATATAGCTTAAATATAGCATAATATAGCTTAAAAGACAAATATATAGCTAACAAAAATGCTAATAAAGCAAATGCTTTATTAGCATTTCTGTGAAAAAAAAAAAAATATTTTCATCGACGGCAATCTTATGATTTCCGTTGAAACGTAACGTATTTCACTTCTTTCCGGGACGTTTAACAATTTTTTTGTTTAAAAAATGGATTTTATTCTTTCGGACCAGATATAACCAGGATGGCTCAAGAAAACAATTAACTTATTAAATCAAAACTTGACAATAAGTTGATTTTGAAAAACTTGTAAATTGACCTCAAAGGTTGTGGAACTTGACACCTCTCGATTACTTATTGTTGGGCTACGTGAAGTCACTGATTTAAGCAATTAGCAACAATAGTCGCCTTAGAAGCAAGCATTGTTTATCTCATTTATCACAAATACTGCTAGAAAAAATGACTCAAAAAACAAAATTTAACAAAAATATTGTTTTCATTTAAACATGAACGTTAGCCTGTGTCATTTTGAAACAAAATTCAAAATCAAGGAACACATTACTCTGCAATCTTTGTGATTTAGTTCAAACTGATCATGTTTAAATTTTCAGGTCACAAGATCATGTGTAAGATATTTCGTTGAACTCGAACTTTTTCAATTTTCATGGTTTTAAAATATTATTTATTATGTAAACTTAATATTAAAAACAAAAAAATATTGAAAGGTTTTTATTTGCTAAAAAACAATTTTATTTAAACATTGACAATTACAAATCATTATTGCAGAGTTACATCATTATCTCAAATTCTTATTATGTACTTTTTTTGTTAAATTTGTCCAGATTTTCCTTTATTTTTTTTAAATATTTATTCACCTCAGCTACCGTTTTTATTAACATTAACGAGCATCTTCTTTTCCTCTTCTTATGCTGCAAGTATCACATTTTTTTCTTGGTCTTCAGATATACTTGCTAAGAAATAATTTGCTAAATAAAGCAAATATTTCTCTTAGCGCAGTCATTTGTTACTTGCATATCTCTTGACGCAGTCATTTGTTTTTTTATGAATTGAAATTTCTGTATCTCTCCAAATCATTCTAGCAGCCAGAGTCTTCCTTAATTTTTAGATTAATTCTTCCTCAGAAACGAAAACAATTTCGAAAAAGTTTTCTAGACTAAATTAAAATCTTTTATCGGTCCCACAAAAAAGTTTACTGCCAAATTAAAAACTTTTGTGGCCGAACCGCATAAATATGTCAGGCTTAAAATTGATGACCTAGTTCTTTTAACTATTTTTGCTTAGGTAGTATTAGGCAGATCTTTGTCTAATAATGCAAGAAAAAAATTATTTTCTCATCTATATGCCAATAACCACGAGGTATACATGACAGCTAGCTTTTACTAAACTTTTTCTTCTTGTCCACTGTTTTATGAAAAAAATATTGCTTCAGCCATTAACCTTGCTTCATCCATGGCACCAGGCTGCGGGAATCTAAAGTTCTTAATAACTCCGCTAAGGAAGAATATATTTTGCTTGAGTAATTTAAAGCAATCGACTCTAGCAAAAGTTTTGTTATAATGTGTGCAAGTCAAGTAGGTTAAGGCCTCTATGTCTTTTACATAAAAATTGAACCAGAAGCTAAAGTACTTTGAACAAAGATAGATTAATAAACTTATTTACTTCATTAATGATCTCTGGTTAGACCTTTTCAAAGTTATTATATAGCAATTTTTGTGAAGCATTAGAACCTCCGATCAAGACTTCTAAGAAGTGTGAAATGTTTGCTTTTTATATGATAACCTTCCGAGAGCCCAAAGGAAGGTGGAGATAATATTGGTAAGAGTTGTTTTTTCTACGCGGCATTTAAAATTTATTGGTAATTATTTATAATTTACCATTTTACGGCATTTATTGCAATTGTTTGTATCTGAATTAACTAAAAAAACACGATATACACAACCTTAATATTGAAAAATGTTTCAATTTCTGTTGCCTAAACTTTTCAATTATGTGAATACCTAAGAGAATGTCTTCTGAACCTGGAGCATTTGGAGTAGATACACCATATGTCAGTCTACCATATGTAATTATGGATGGCAAAAATCCCGGAAATTTTCAATCCCGGGAATTCGGGATTGAGAAATTTGTCCCCGAGAAATCCCGGGATTGAATAGAAAAAAACGCAAATGCAATTGAATATTTTTTAAGCACTAATCAAATACTTAAAAATGATTAGTTTAATGATAATTTATAAGTATTATAAGTATTATATAAAACAATACCTTAAAATGGTAACACAGTATAAATAAAAATAAAATTAAAAAATGATATAAATATGTATGACGTTAAAAAAAACTTTCATAAATCACACATTTGAAAATTAAAATAAATGGATATTAAACTGGAATTAAAATCGCGCGTACTATTGGAAGCAGAAAATTCAAAATTAAATTAATGTATACCTTCTATTAAAAACTCTTGCTCTTTTTACCAGCAAGCGCTTAAACTTTATCTATTTTTATAATAAACTAGTTTTAATATAATACTATATATTATATATAGTATAATGTTAAAACTAGTATATTATAAAAAATAACAAAAATATAGGCGCTTGCTTGTGGAAAGAGCAAGAGTTTTTAATAAAATTTTCACATTAATTTTATTTTATTATATATTTTTAAATATATATATATATATATATATATATATATATATATATATATATATATATATATATATATATATATATATATATATATATATATATATATATATATTTATATATATAAACATATATACATTTTGCAGACAAGCAATAATGTTTTGATTTTTTTTTTTAGTAAAATACAGAAAATGAGAGTTTTAAAAGGAAAACATTGCAAAGATAATAAATAATTACACAACCAAACAGCTACTATACCAAAGACGATATAAAAAATACTAAACTACAATTAGAAGCTTAAACTTTATTAATCTTTCCTTTTTTTTGACGATCCCGAAATCCCGAAAACTTTCGGAGACTAGTCCCGGGATTTCAGGATGAAATTCCGGGATTTCGGGATTGCCATCCCTATTTGTAATGGAGATGTTCTTATGCTTACAAATTTTTTCACAAGTTTAGTCTTAATATGCAAAGCTCGTGTTTTGCCTTTTAACTTATCTATGATTTCATTTCTAATAAAATCCCTCTTTTGTCTGATTCAGATATAAGTAGTACATGGCATAGCTAAGATTATTTCTTTATGAAAGTTTAAATTTAATTTTGTGTTGCATAAATTAAAATTAAAAAGAACAAATTTACGTAGTGACGTTTTTCAACGTAAATTTCAAAAATATAAGAACCTTAAACTGTTTCTAATGGTTGATAGCTTTTATCTGGTAGACACTATTTATGGGGTATTTCAGGAGACATGTTACTTTTGGATCGGTACAATAGCAAAAATTTAGTGCTGGAGATAACTGAGTAACTGGAGATTTTAATAATTTTTTTTTTTTTAATTTTATTTTATTTTAAATATGTAGATGAAAAGACTACAATTTATTGTAAATTCTTTATAAATTTTATTCCAAAAAAAGTTCAAAAATTTTCTTTTTATGATAATATTAAAAATATTTCTCAGTTTTTAAATAAATTGTAAAAAAGCAACATTAACGCAATTCTATTAGACAGTGATCATTATCACTGTTCTAAAACTTTAAATTCTTCTAGGGTCAAATGACTGAGATTGGAGTGAAGTAATTTATTTTTTTGACACAGGATAATAAACATAATGGTTTTTCAATTTATTTTTATTCAAAGTATTAAAAAGATTTTAATGCTGCAGTTCAATTTTTAAAAGGTCAAAAAATTTAGAACAAACTTGATGATATAATGGTAGAGAGATATAATGGTAGAGAGAGAGATATCATGGTAGAGAGAGATATCATGGTAGAGAAAGATATCATGGTAGAGAAAGATATCATGGTAGAGAAAGATATCATGGTAGTGGTAGTCAGTTTTCACAAGATTATTCAAATGTGACAAAAGAGAAGAACTGAAAATAGCCATAAAATGTAAAAAAATATAATTCAAAAAATAGCTAACAAACTATACAAATACCTGAAAAATACTAATAAACTGTTTCAGTTAATATTTACAAATTACAACAAAAAAGTAATTGAGAAGAATCCATTTTAAAATCTTCAAAAAATAATTATCATGGTAAAACGTTATTTTCAATTTGCGAAAGTTATCGGTGATATGTGTCAGAAAAAAATGTTTTTTCCTGTCACAAGTTTCATGATTTGAACGTTATGCAATTTATCTTCTCACCCAATCATAAAGAAGCAGCTGCGATGCATTTGGTCGTAACGCAGGGTCACTTTAACAAAAATTAAAAACGTGTTTATAAAAAACCTCTACAAAAAGTTTGCATTAAACAGAAAATAAATGACATTAAAAAAAAAAAAAGATAACGAAAATTACATAATCTTAATTTGTTTATTTGGTGCTTACCTTATAAAACAATCATTTACAAATGTGACGCAAGAGGTTGACGAGTTATCAGGCAGATGGGGTACCGTTGGACGTGTAGCAATATGAAATATAGCAGACATGGGTGGTAACTCAAACCATGGCGGCTTCGTTGTTAGCATTTCAAGCACAGTACAACCAAATGACCTGTTTAGAAAATATACTAACTTGATTATTATTATGCTCCTAAACTGGAGCATTTAAATAATAAAGTTTCAAAGAACCTAAAAGCATTTTACATCGGAAATTTAATGTTTCAAAGAACCTAGAAGCATTTTACATCGGAAATTTAATGTTTCAAAGAACCTAGAAGCATTTTACATCGGAAATTTAATTTTTCAAAGAACCTAGAAGCATTTTACATCGGAAAAGGCAGCGTGATAGAAACTGTCTTAGTGCGATGGCGGTAACGTGATGGTATGGGGATCAATGGCTCGGAAGGGTGTCAGAAAACTCCCATTTATTAATACGAAAATGAATTAGGTGCAATAGAGAAACATATCAAAGCAAAATTTGAAGTCATCTGCTCAAAAACTATTTTGCATTTCAGCAAGGTAATGATCCCAAGTATACTACTACTAAAACTAAGAAATGGTTTGCTGAAAATAATGATGAGGTCTTGGAATGGCCTGCACCATCACGTGACCTAAATCTAATTGAACATTAGAGGGAAATTTTAAACTGAAAAATCGGAGAAATGTTTTATTGAAAACAATTCAAAAATAAAATATGGCTCTATTAAAACATAGTTTTTATAATAAAACATGGTTTTGAATATAAAAAACTTTCATGAGTATTAAACAAGAGGTCCGAGGTTCAACACCGGCTCTTGCCTTATAAGTGAGATTGGTAAGAAAGGAGATATGAACTTTCTAATTAATGTTCTTCCAAAGTGCTCAGCGAGAGAAAACATTTTGACAACACTTCAGGAGTGAACAGAATAAAATTAAAAACTTTGCACTGAATAAATTAATAGTATTAAACTTTAGATTTCAAACATTTGAAAAAATACCATATGTCAGCTTTTTTTCCATATTCTACATCGTTTACACCTGCCTTAATAACTTCTGGACTCATCCAGTAAGGTGTCCCAGTAGATGTTTTACATCCTGCTTGAGAACGTATTGTCTAAAAATAAAATATTCAAATAAATCATTGATAGCGTGAGTATACTATTTATACAGGATGTAAAAAAGAACATTTTAAAGTTCATAGGAATTTAGATACAAAACTAATACAAATAAATTAAAAATTGATAAAAAAACCGTTAATAACACCACTAATAAAAACTGAAAACAAAAAAAAAAATTATCTTAAAAGGGGTCATTTTAAAATTGTCACACACTTTCAGAAGAAGACTTTTTCAGTTTGAAAAATATATTTAAATAAATTTAAAGAAAATAGAGTAAAATTAGTTTTAAATCATTCAACATATATAAACAAACACAAAACTCTAAGTCAATGTAGCAAAACTCCTCGCATGTTCTACCTGTTTGTCAGTTGATGTAGCAGCACTTATCATATGTTCTACCCATTTTAAAGTCAATGTATGTAAACAGTAAAAAAATAAAAACATTCAAAATGTTTTTTTTTTTAATTTAAAAAATAAGACATTCCAACCAATTAAGTTGTATTTTTATTTTTTTAAAAAAATAATAAAATTTAATTAGTTTTCTAATTAAATTTAATGGTTTTTACACAAATTAGTTTTGTAAAGTTCAAAAACAGTGTAATTAAGAGTTGTCGTTTCATGTTATATATATATATATATATATATATATATATATATATATATATATATATATATATATATATATATATATATATATATATATATATATATATATATATATATATATATATATATATATATGTATATATATATATTATATATATATAAGTTTTTTTTAACCCCTGGTTAAAAAAAGACCCTTTTTAACCAGTATTAAGGATTTCATATTCAGTTTACAATTTTAATGCATTTCTTCCAAGTTTGTCGAGTCTTTTCATTGAGTCTTTATTTTCACAGAGCTCTAGACCATGGCTCTAGACCATGGGTTAGCGTGGGAACTGCTCATGATTTATATAATTGGATAATAGACCTTAGATGAGCAAACTGCATCCCAGATTGAATCAGAGTTTGCATTAATGCCTAGAAATTTGATCCCCTACTATCAATATTAATTCTATTAAGTAAACAAAATTAAAGCCAAGTAAAGCCAAGATGATTTTCTCATGAGAATTTGATGGTCTTCTAGAGATATTGCGCAGTTCATTATTTGTATTTTTCCGGAGAGTAAAAGTTCCTTCTCGACGGCATTAAGCTTTATGCAATTTAAATTGTTGTACATTTTAAATGTTGTAATAAATTTTTTAGGCCCAAGAGTAGAACTGAGAAGAATGATGTCATCAGTATGTGCTACAACACCAGTCAAGTTTCCATATATAGTAGTACCAACAATGTCATCATTTTTTATAGTTTCAAGTAGCTTTTCCTTTAGTATGCCTCTAGTTAAATCCTTTTTAATAAGATTTAACTAAAGGCATATTAGTTGTCATTGACATTGATGTAGGGATCCACACGTGATTAATTGAAAAGTGAAATAATTTTCTTAACCATTGTGTTAGTGTGTCACATTAGACATGTTTTAAATTTATTGGAAAGATGTTGTAATGAACCTTGCATTTATTTGATTTTAGACAAGAAATTGTTATTTTAATATTTTCATCAATAATTAATATTTCATCAGAATTTTTACAAGGAAGAATTTGATGATCCATCAGTTATTATCTCAGTGTTTAACTGTTTTTCAAAAACAGTAGCAAGCTCTGCGGTGATAGATTCTTTATCTTTTTTATTGTTTATAGTAAAAAGTTTTGAATTTGAATCATTTTTTATACACCTAAAGGTATTCCAGAAGTTTTCTGGGTTAGAATTTTTAAGTTTTTCAATTTTTTATATATTTCTAATGTAGTATATTCTTTTGGGCAGCTTTGACAGCTTCGCAGAAATCCTTCTGAGCAAATAGGTAGCGAATAAAGATAGAAGAAGTCTTTTGCGAAACTCGCTTCACTCTATTTTAGAAAGAATTTTTTTACTTCAAGTTAATTTAGGAGTCCGCCAGGATTTTAAATGTATAGATTGTTTCTTTAAGTTTAAATGTTCTCTAAGAGCCAATGTTGCACTGTTAGTTATAGTTGTATAGATTTGGGTAAGTTCATTTTCGAAAGTACCAATAAGGGTAAGAATAATGAAACTCGAATTTAAGTGATCATTATATAAGTTTATAAAGTCATAATTATTCCAGGGTTACATATACACAGTTGAAAAAAAAAGCCAGTTTATTAAATTTTTTTTTTTTCCTCAAATATTTATTTGATTATTATTAACATTATTATTAACATTATTAATTATTATTAACATTACAGGCTTAACAGGCTATAGATCTTTAAAAAAATTATATTTTCTTTGGTTTTCAAAAATGATTAATGCAGAAAAGGTTAGTTTGATTTTAAATTGAGAAAAAATTATATAACAAAGTAGTTATAAAACCATCAAATTCCTATTAAATCCAATGATTATCATGAGTAACCTAATTATTTTATATTAGTATTTTGAAATCATAACTTTACCTTTTATTTTATTGAAAAAAACACTATTAACTCAAGTAAAGGTCAATAAGACAAAAAAACAAAACAAAACAAAAAAACACAGCAATTCTACCTGTATCTGTTTAGATATACCAAAATCAGCAAGCTTGCAGTTCCCATCTAAGTCTAACAATATATTGGCACCTACAATAAAAAAGAAATTATTCATGGTACCAAACTCAACTGCCACTGCTTTGAAAAAAAAAAAACCTCTCAATAACTGCTTGATAAACAATATTATATACCAAGCAAATGTCATCTCATATCAACCTCCTGGTAATTTAATCAAAATAATAAGTGAAACTCTCTTAAATTTAAAAAATTAAAACTAGATTTACTAACAACTAAAAAGCTTTCAATATCTCAAAATATACTATCAAAAACTAAAAAAAAGATGCCAACAAAAATCTTGTGATTAAGAAGCAAATATTACAAACATTATTTATAATACAAACATTATTTATAAATAATTACATGTTTCTCTTTACAAACATTGACTTCTGTAAAAATTAGAGAGTTTTCTATGGAAATTTACTAGATCAACAATAAACAAAAGTATTTACTTATTTTGTAGTTAAAGCATTTAATTACTATTCAATTAAAAAAAAATTAGTTAGCATAGTTAACTGAGCATTACTGTTACTTTCAGAGTTTTATTTGTCACTTTGTGCTTTATTATTATTATTTTATGTTTTATTTTCTTTTAGTAGAAAAAAAAATCACTATTTAAATTTAAAATCATATTTAAAACATTTATAAAGAAATAAACCTCTAAGGTGCTCTTCAATAAAACTACAAGGACATCTTGGAGCATCTTAAAATATTGATAACTGGAGCATCTTAATATATTGATTACTTGAAATTAAATAAGTATATGTATATATATATATATATATATATATATATATATATATATATATATATATATATATATATATATAAAAGTCTTCTTGTTATACAAAATGTTTATCATAAAGTAAGTTAACTTCAATAAAAGGCAGCATATAACTATTTCGAAATATATTTGATATAATAATATATTAATAATATTTTGCTGACCTATTGTGGTCAGTGTCATCAGATAACAATAAAAGGTTATAAAACAAACCATTTAAAAACAAAACATTAAAAAGCATCAAATTATAAAATCCAATTAAATAATGTAATAATGTCAGTTAAATTTTTGTCAAAATGGGTCCTTAAGTTCATGCTTTAACCTTATCCTCGTCATCTCGATTTAGAACACCTTGCCCAATACCTATCTCATATCAAACTCTTGCTTTGTTAATCTCCAGGAGTTCTCTAATTTTTTTTATCCTGTATTCTTGAACGACTGCCAAAGTCTAAGGATTTAGTCAATCAAAGTTACCACGGCATGTTCTAGAATGCTTTGTTGCTCCTGATTTTTACTAGCTCTTTTGTGTTCTGGGCTTCTTGAAATTATTTTCTACTTCTTTTCACTAATATATATTATAAATTTCCACATAAGCATTCAAGTTGGTAAACTCCCGGATTTGAATTTGTAGGTAGTTTTGTTTTATTTTTGCATTGTATGTTATCTAAGTTGGGAGCTGAAGTAAATATAACTCTGATGTTTTGTTTTCTAAATTCTCTTGGGAGTTTTGGGCCTATAATAGGTATCGAAGGTAGTATAATAGGTATAGTAGGTAGGTAAGGTACAAACTGTTTATCTAACTGATTAGATGTAGTATTTTTTGAAACACGATCTGAGTAGTTTTTGGTTATAAGATAACTTTAGTTATAGCCGTTTTCAGAAAAGGTATTTATGAGGAAATCAATTTTTTGTAAGAGATATTTTTGAGAGCAGATTTGTTTTGCTCTACATAAAAACCTTTAAAGATGCCACTGGCTATGCTTGGGTTGATGTTTGAGTTCAGTTTTTTTTGAATAGTTGTTATTGCATCCTCATGATGTATTTAAAACTCATAAAATCCATTTATTGTATTTTTAACAAATATCTAAAAAATTAAGTTGTTTTCTTTCGCTTTCAAATTTAACAATATATTTCATGGTGGGCTTTTGTTCTTTTAAAGTTTTAAGAAACGGTTCTTGCTTTTCTTTTGAATCAAAGCGAGCATTGGTTGGAATGAATTAACAAAGGCTATATTAAGGGCTCTTTTTTCAATACTTTGCAAAAATGGTTAAGCTATGACAACCATCAATGATAAACCAATTGGACCAATCAGATTTTATCTTTGTATAAAAAATAACATATGCTGATTGAAAGTTCAATTAACTAGTATATATCTATAAGAGTTAATTTAGTCCTAGTTTTTAAATCGTCAAGATTATAGATCAATATGTTGATAATAACAGTTATTGTTTCATCGAATGGTACGGATGGATATAAATTAAATACATAGAATGAAACCTGAGTTTCATTAGGGCCTACCTTCCATTCTTTAACATCGTTGAAAAAATTTCTTGAATAAATTAGTCGAGTTACATTTTTGTTTAATGTTAGCTAGATAATTTTAACCAGATACTTAAATGTTTTATAAAGAGGTGTGTTAATAGTGGAAACAACAGGATGCATTGGGTAGTTTTTTTCCAATTTGTGAGCTTCAACCATTCCATAGATTCTAGGTGGAACGCAATCTGATGGATACATTTTAAAATAAGTAGCATTGTCTAACTTACCCTGTTTTCTTAATTTATATAATAGTTTTTGAAATTTAGTAGTGAATATGGGTGCTATGTCATAATCAATAAATTTACTATTTTTTATTTGTACTTCTAATTTGTCTTTTGCTTCATTTTCATATAATAAAGCAAAACCTGTTCTTTTTTCAAACAGATATATCTTAAGCTGTGAATGTTTTTTTAGGTTTTGCAAAGAAAAGTGTTGCAGTTTTACTAAATTATCTTTTATTTTAAAGAACTGGTTAGAATTTTTGAACAGTTTTGTAAAAGAATCTCTGCCTGTGTTTGTTTATTTTGTTATTTAAGTTCTAAGGCACAATTTTATGAGTTTTAAATACACAATAAGGATGTGATAACAAATATTCAAACAAAATTGAACTCAAACATCAACCCAAGCATAGCCAGAGGCATCTTTAAAAGTTTTTTATGTAGAGCAAAAGAAGTCTGGTCTCAAAAGTATCTCTCACAAGAAATTTCCTCATAAATACCTTTTCTAAAATTAGCTATAACAAAAGTTATCTTATTAAATAACCAAAAACTATTTACTTTATGTGGAAATATATATATATATATATATATATATATATATATATATATATATATATATATATATATATATATATATATATATATATGTATATATATATATATATATATATATATATATATATATATATATATATATATATATATATATATATATATATATATATATATATATATATATGTATATATATATATATATATATATATATATATATATATATATATGTATATATATATATATATATATATATATATATATATATATATATATATATATATATATATATATGTATATATATATATATATATATATATATATATATATATATATATATATATATATATATATATATATTATATGTATATGTATATGTATATATATATATACATATATATATATATATATATATATATATATATATATATATATATATATATATATATATATATATATATATATATATATATATGTATATATAATTTTAAGAAGTCCAGAACACCAAAGAGCTAGTAAAATTCAAAAATGTTAAAGTTCAGGAGCCACAAAACATTCTAGAACATGCCGTGGTAACTTTGATTGACCAAATCCTTAGACGTTGGCAGTCATTCCAGAATACAGGATAAAAAAAATTAGAGAATCCGTGGAGATTAACAAAGCAAGAGTTTGATATGAGATGATATGAGGGTATTGGACAAGGTGTTCTAAATCGAGATGATGAGGATAAGGTTAAAACAAGAACTTGAGGACCCATTTTGACAAAAATTTAACTGACATCATTATTACATTATTTAATTAGATTTTATATTTGACTTTTTTTAATGTCTTCTTTTTAAATGGTTTGTTTAATGTTGATTTGTAACATTTTATTATTACCTGATGACACTGACCACAATAGGTCAGCAAAATATCGTTAATATATTATTATATCAAATATATTTCAAAATAGTAATACGCTACCTTTTATTGAAATTAACTTACATATTTTATATATATATATATTGGGTTATGACTTTTAATCAAACCCCATGCTCCTGTACTGTAGTTTGATGAACTTTTACCTAAAATATTTTTATTTACATATTATATATATATATATATATATATATATATATATATATATATATATATATATATATATATATATATATATATATAATATATATATATATATTAGGGTTATGACTTTTTATCAACCTCATGCTCCCGTACTGTAGTTTGATGAATTTTTACCTAAAAAGCACAAAATGAACTATTATTTGCATATCTTTCCAAAAAAGTTCACTCCCCCATTGAAAAATTGATTTTGACATACTAAGTCTTACTATGTATTCATACTAAGTACTACTATGTATTCAAATGTATTTAAAATGTCATAGTCATGTAATACAATAAATTTTCAATTGAACAATGACTCAGACCATTGAACTTGCTCTTACTTGTTGCACAGAAGGAATCGAAAGTGCGATTTGTCTTTATTTTTGCATGACAAATAAATTTCCTCCATTACTTTGATTGTGCGCTCTGCAGATTGATTACTTCTGGGTATCTGTAGTATGGATGGCTCTCGCTTCCAGTGATTTTTAAAAGAGCTTAAAGTGTTTTTGTATGGATTCAGTATTTCAGCCAAGCTATTAAAACTGCTTTTGTTGTACTGTTGGTCTGTAAACAAATAGCCTGCCCAGCCATACAATATAAATTGACATGAACTCTGCAGAACTGTCCTTGTTGAAGGAATTAAAATGAAGGCCAGGATCGCTAGTATAACTCTGGAGTTCTGCCTTGCATTGCTGATATTGGGTATTTTCCAAAATCTGATCAATGGAAAATGTCCCTATTCCTTAAAAAATGGGAACACTCAAGTGAGATAAAACAAAAATTTCATATAATCTCTCCAGCCTGATGTTTTGAGAATTACTTCCGTTCTGTTATCAAACTGTGTTTTCAGTTGTTCATACTCCTTCAACAGTTGAGATACAAATGGATATTCAATGCTTGGCGATTGTGTTTTACTTCTAAGTTCTTCATCCATCACCAAAGGAGAATTCAATCTAATACATGGTGTTGACAACTGATACACTGAGGTTTGTTGATGCGCTTCTCTGTGAATATTCATTGCAATATTACAACAAAACCATTCTTTTTTCCAGTGTTAAAGCTGGTGGTATCTGCAACAACCATCTGTATTGAATTCCATAGGTGAAATTCATCGAGGACTTTAGAAATTCCTTAAGCAATAGTTAAAGCCCTACCATCTACCAGACTAAGGATATCAAACTTGGTTTCTCTTCTTTCTTTTTATCAAGGACGACTACCTGATAATCCATATTGTCGATGTGTTTGCCATCAAAGTGAAAGGATCAACTTTTCATATGCAACTTTTCAATCATTTCTTCCTTCAACTGCCTATTTAATTGTTGAACTGTAAATAGCTGATTGACATGGAGTTAGAATGTCAATGCCTTTATGAGCCAATTGCTTGCATATGTTAGCAGCATTGTTTGTTGATACTCTTGCGGAGGTCACTTTACTGCAATTTTGCTTTTATGATGTTTTCTGCTTGGTGTAGGAGTTGTCTCATCTTCTTCTTCATTGTTTTCATATTCACTGTCGTCAGACTCTGAGCCAGAATCACTAAAACCAGGATAGTAAGATGATAAGTTGGATAACTTATTAGAAAGTTTTTGTCTTTTAGAGGGATGGGTCATTTCTTTACTGGCTGGTTGGCGTGTAAAGTATCCCGCTGTTCCTTTCTTTTCAACTTGGAGATGGTACAACGGCTTGTCCTTGGAAGATAACCATGTTCCATTGATTCCAAATTCTTCCAAAGAGACAATTTCTTCAAGACAAGAGTCTTAAAATTTTACCAGATTATTGGTCCAGACAAAATGTTCCAAAGTTCTAAACACTTTTAATCTATGCAAGTTTTAAATAATTTGGAGGAAAGCCACACGTAATAGTAGAAGCAGTAACAAGATTAAATAAATGACGAAACATAATTTGAATTGTGGGGTGACCTTTTTTACAACCAAATTGACCATGTTTTCAATGTTTTCTAAAAAAACTTCATTGATTTATGACACAGGAAATTATTTTTTTTTAAAAGTCAAAAAGTCATAACCCTAACCATTACCTTTATTTCATTTTAACAGGAAACTTTAGCTCTCCTCAAAAAGAGATTTAACCAGTTTTTACAAGCAACTTAGTCTTTTATCTCATTACACAGTTTAACCCTGAATGATATCAGTTTAGCTTATACTGCTACAGGTAACATGTAACCCAATACAACCTGCTTCATATCCTGCTGCCTTGTAGGATACACTTTTTTAAACTAAAGCTAGGAAAAGCCAACTCCGACTTAAAACACCCCCTGCCTTAGGGCTCTTGGTTGAGTAAAGGCTAGAGATGGTGTCTTGATAAAAACACTCATCTTGGGTAGATGTTAAAACCTTCTGGCTACTGTTTTGCAGAAGGCCTCCTAGGCAAAGACTTAAGGGGTATTAAGGTTCTATCTGTTGACCAGTCTCACACATCTTCTTCATCTATTTGACGTTTCCAGTTTAGGATGTTAAATGCTGGATTGTCTTGGATCAATGCATGGGTTTTGCTTTTGTCTCTGTTTTTATGACTAAGCAACTCATTATTATTATTACCTTAATATACTTACCAAATGTGTACCTGTATCAATAAAAGAAACCTATGCAAATCTGGAACAGACTTATAATTGCATTACTTCCACTAATCACTTGTGGTGTATTTATGGTGTTCTAAAAGTAGTCGATTTGCTTAGTGGGTTCAGAAAGAATACAATAGGTACTATTTTAGTTTATGTCTCTGGAAGAGTCCAGCATATTCAGAACACTATATTTGTAAATCTTTAAGAAATATAAAACAATGCTAAAACTTGGTATAAACAATGCTAGTAACTTTTCTTTAATCATCAAACAAAATCATTTTTCTGCCACTGCATATCAAAATGGTTCTGTTCAAACAATTTTTAAAACTTTATGGGGTTTTAAATGTTACCCTTTGCTTTCTGATGACTTTGCTACCATGAATAATATAGATGTAGCTGCATGGAATTCTTTTTAAATGTTATGCTACAATTTTCTTGGAGAATGGTTTTTTTCTTGGTTTTATCTTTTCTTGGAGATACAAACAGCAAATTACAGTAAACTAGTGTTCAATTATAGTAGTGGATTAGTTTGTTCAGCTTGTTCAATAAGACTAGTAGATCAGCTTGTACAAATAGGTTAAATCAATCAATTTTAATAGTACGTAATTTCAATAATAAAATTTTATAATATAGTGTAATTAGCACTGATACTGAAATTGTTTATTAATAGAAAATTTTATACATTATTTAATTGTATTTTCAATTATATTTTTATTTTAATCTTATTTTCATGATTTTTTTTTTTTTTTTTGAACACTAAAATTATATATATTAAATTTTGATAAGAAATGACTTAATTGAATGCTATATTAAAATACTAAAATTGATTAAAATGTTATAAAGATATAAATAATTTATAAATATTGGATCAAATAATAGGCAAAAATAAAATCAAAAGATTAAAGAGCTAGCCTTTAATATCCCTGTGTATTATATTTTTACTGTGTAAGTACATCAAACCATCAAGAATTTGATAAGATTTTTCTGATGCAGTCCTCTCATCTAGAGCTCCTTCTTTTGATATTTTATCATAAAGAGATCCCTGGAAAAGAATATAAAAAGATTCTATTTAAAAATATTGCTTAGATATGCATATATATATATATATATATATATATATATATATATATATATATATATATATATATATATATATATATATATATATATATATATATATATATATATATATATATATATATATATATATATATATATATATATATATATATATATATATATATAATATACATGCAAACCAAAAAATTGAACTTACCAAATATGCTACATATAGATAAAATTTCAAACAATTGTATGATGATCATTTTTTAATTCTAATTTTTTTAATTGTAGAGTTATTATGCAGTTTTTAGGCATTTAGCAGTTTATTGATACATCATAACAATTTAAATTACAAGCTTAATTACTGTAAGTATTAAGCTTAATTACTGTAAATAAAGCCTAATATACATATCTTATGCTTTGTTAGACAAAGTAATTTTATTTTGGAGGTTCTTTTTATACTGATGCCAAAAAGATCTTGAAGAATCAGTTTCAATGGTTCCTGATTCCAAAATTTTTTACTGAGTTTAACGCTTTTTTGTGCAAAATCCTACATAGCTTCTAATAATCATCTGCATTGTGCATTTGGTCAATAAACCAATGGTCTGCCCATTTGTAAAAGCTTAATCTGCAAATATCGAGTAGTGAGCTTCTTCTCCCTGGTAGTAGAATAAAGGCCAAAAGTTCTAGTTTTGCTTGGGAATTCCATCTTGCATTATTTAACTTATTTTCTGACACCTCACTTTAGTAAATATGTCAAATTCTTTAAAAAAGTGTAATACCCAAGTTAAATTAAATAAAATTTTATACCTTCACGCCATCCTCAGGGTGTCTAACTTTTTTTTTTTTTAAAAATTTCAAAAAGACTTTTACTTTTGGTAAAGAATTTTATGGAGATTCTAAATCTGCAAAAAAAAAAAATTTTTTAAATTATGTCTTTCTTGGCGAGTCAAAGTTATTTTGAACAGAAAAATGACTAAAATATGACTAACTAACAGGGCGAAACTATAAATTAAAAAATAAATTTTTTTATTATGTTTTAAGAAAATTGAATATTTGGTTCAAAAAGTCATAAAAATAAACTCTTGAAAATATGTTTTTGCACAAGCCTCTGTAACCTAAATTAAATATTAAAAATAATTTAGTCATTAACAATTTTTTAATAAGTTATTATATTCTTTTAATTGTATAAAAATGAAACCTGCTCAACTCAAAGTTTGAAGGATTGGGAATGGCATGGCCAATCTGGAACAATAGTAGGCTTGTGAAAATATTTTCTGACTTCATGGGTTGTGAGGCTTGTGGCAAGAAGTGGTTCATATATTGAATCTTTCCACTCAATTAGATTGGTCAATTTATCAGCTTCAGTATTTATGCCTGGGGTTTTAAGAATTCTTACTTAAACTCTCTGAACTGAGTATTATCATATCCTTTCTTTCTATTCTCTAATACTTCTAACATTCATTTTTCTTCGTATTTGGAACACAGAAGAGAATAATGCATTCACTAAATACAAACCATGCAGATCTCTTTACAGTTCTTATTACTATTACAACAACCTCTTTTTTATTGATATCTTAGTTGTTTCAATTAGAATAAAATATACAGAGGTCCATCTAATCAGGAATGTTTTACTATTATTTGAAACTAGCAAGGAAAATACACACCAACTATAAATTCAATAATTAAACCTAGGTTTCCACATTCTTTGCCAATTTTTTACTTTTAGCCAAAATGGATTAGGCTCTGTCAGTATTTACTTTACAACCTCGTTAAATTTAGAATATAATTGAACATATTGATATGCATTCATAAAATAGAACTTACTATTTTTAAAATTACGACCAATACATAATATTTCATAATATTTAAATAATATTTTAATATTTCTGACAAACATCTTTCTCAATCAGAATGAAAACAAAACTTTTCTATGGCTTTGTTATCATATTTTTATGTAAAGCATTACTTTTATTGATTTTAGTAATACTGCTAATATCATTCATAATTCTGTGATGAGCTACTGCAGCTTCACTTGATTTACTATGTCTAAAAATTCAAAACTTAATATTAAAAAAACATGTTTTAATTTGTTAATTGCTTCATAACAGTTTGTTATGAAAATTTAAAAACAGTTTGTTGACAAAATGTTTTTAGTACAAAACAAAATCAAGATTTGTTTTTAAACCGAATCAAACTTTAATACAGTTTTAGAAAAAATTAAATAACTTGTACCTGAAAGAAGATTATGCTTCTTTATTATTCCTTTCTTATCTTAGCTTTTTGTCTAACCTTTTTTTTTTTGCTGAAGGTTACAATTTTGCATTTATCTAAACAATATCTGCATGCTGACATTTTATAACACTTCTAAAATATCTTTTGAGGCGCTATTTTGTTAAAGTTTCATTAAATAATTGTTTTGCTAACAACCAATGCCGACCGCAATATAACCAATCTGAACTCAACCTTATTGAATATTATTCCTTAATACAACCAGTACTACTAAGTATGTTTTTGAAATTAAAAGGCACAATAGACGGTTTTAAGATGGTTGTTATCTTTACCATCTTTCTTTATATTTTACTTGTTATCAAGGAAGAAGTTGTAAATATTACAAAATATTTATTAAACAATTTCTTGTAATTTCCCCTAGTTAATGTTTCTGAAGAAGAGCCATTTACTGTTCCAGGAATTACTTTATTGCTCTGATTTAAAGGACATTTTTTTTATTTTTTAAACCTGTAGATCATTTATATTTTGTACTTAAACTTTCCTAAAATAAAAAAGCTGATTGGTGGTAAATAAAATAAAAAAGCTGATTGGTGGTAAATAAAATAAAAAAGCTGATTGGTGGTAAATAAAATAAAAAAGCTGATTGGTGGTAAATAAAATAAAAAAGCTGATTGGTGGTAAATAAAATAAAAAAGCTGATTGGTGGTAAATAAAATAAAAAAGCTGATTGGTGGTAAATAAAATAAAAAAGCTGATTGGTGGTAAATAAAATAAAAAAGCTGATTGGTGGTAAATAAAATAAAAAAGCTGATTGGTGGTAAATAAAATAATAATTGGTTTTAATTTGATACTTGTTATAATTAAACTAAAAACAATATAGCATAAACAGTTCATAAATAAACTAGAATCAAAAAAACAATTAGGTTAAATAGTTTATTGACAAACTAAATAAATAAAATTTTTTAACCCCTTCCATGAATTCCATTACAATAGAGATTGTTGTGCTAGTACAAGAAGAAGTATAGTATTCCACAACTCGTTCATGATTTAATTTTTTAAAAAGTGAAATTTCATGTCTAAACTTTTCAACTTCCTTTTTTGCTTTGTCATTATTATCAACGTTTCCGATCTCAATACATTTTACAGCTAGTTTTTTGCCTGTATTTTCATCTGTGCAAAGATAGACCTAAAACAAAAACAAATTTTATATAATTTTATTTTAACATCTCTCTTTATATATTTTGTTTTTTATTTTTTTATTGTTTTAGTATTGCTTTTATTTTGTTTTTAAATAATTTTTTTTCTATTTTTTGTGATTTTGTGCAGAATTGTTAGTCCTTGGCCTCGACCTTGTCTTAATGCCAAAAATTGAGGTCTTGGCCTTAATTGTACTGGCCTTAATAAAAAACACAATTTTTCTCATTGATTTCGTTGAATTCTGCCTATAACCTGGGTCTATTTTTACAAAATATGGTTTTATTGTCACAGCACTTGCTACTTATAGTTGTGTTAATAATTGACCTTAACATAAGGAAAAAAGTTGAAGTCTTTAGTCTGGAAAATATTGGTGTAGGTCTTGGCCTTGAAACTCTTATTCTTGGCCTTGATCTTAAACTCTTGTCCTTGTCCTTGTAATTTTTAACCTTGGCCTTGTAATGCGTGGCACTTTTAGCCTCGTTAACAACTCTGATTTTATGCTTGTTTAATTGAATGAACCTTTAATAAACAGTTGCAAGTATAATATATATATATATATATATATATATATATATATATATATATATATATATATATATATATATATATACATATATATATATACATATATATATATATATATATATATATATATATATATATATATATATATATATATATATATATATATATATATATATATATATATATATATATATATGTACATATATATATATATATATATATATATATATATGTACATATATAAATAAATACAACAATAGCTCACGCTCACAACTACATATATCTACATATATATATATATATACAACAGTTACATTATATATACATATATATATACAACAGTTCGATTAATAAACCCTGCCAAAAATGAAATTGGCAGAATTAGTAAAGTTATTCTTTCAAACATAAATTCTGAACTTGTAAAAAGACTCCATCTCAATCAGTGGAAAAAAACACAAGATGTAATATGCTGGTTCAAGTCGATCAGTGATCCAAACCTTTATAAGTTTCTCATTTTTGATATCGTTGATTTTTATCCCTCAATAAGTGAAAAACTACTTAAAAATGCTATTAGTTTTGCTGAGCAGCGTCTGATTATAGATCCTGAGCAAAAATCGATTATTTACCACGCCAGAAAGTCACTGTTGTTTGATAGCAATCAAGTTTGGATTAAGAAGTCAAGCGGATTATTCGATGTTTCGATGGAAGCATTTGATGGCGCCGAAGTGTGTGAACTTGTGGGGATTTTTCTTTTATTTCAGATTACACAGTTTTACAATAAGAATGATTTCGAGTTATACCGTGATGATGGTTTGGCGATTTTTAAAAACATCAGTGGTCCCCATATGGAAAAAATTAAAAAACATGTTGTTAAAATATTTAAATCGAACGATCTTCTGATATCAACACAGTGCAACATAAAAATCGTAAATTATCTGGACATTACATTAAACCTCAACAACCACACCTACCAACCTTACTCTAAACCCGGAAACTCTTTAAATTACATTCATGCTGAATCAAACCACCCATCCAGTATTTTAAAGCAACTCCCACATTCTATTGAATTAAGATTATCAGCAAATTCGTCAAGCGAGGAAATCTTTCAAAAATCCACTCCAATGTATAATGAAGCATTAAAAAAGTCCGGTTTTAATTACAATCTTTCTTACCAACCTAAATTAATATTATCTCACACTAAGAACCGTAAACGTAACATCATTTGGTTCAACCCGCCTTTTAGCAAAAACGTCAGCACGAATATAGGAAAAATATTTTTAACATTAATTGATAAGCACTTCCCTAAAAATCACAAGTTGCACAAAATTTTTAACAGAAACACATTAAAAGTAAGTTATAGCTGTATGCCTAATATGAAATCCGTTTTAAACGCCCACAATCGCCATGTCATAAACAACAAGAAAGAATCAGCTAAAAATAATTGCAATTGCATAGATAAAAACACCTGCCCTTTATCAAACCAATGCTTAACAAAAAATATAGTATATCAAGCTAATGTATGCTCAAACAATCTCGTTCAATCTCCTATCAATAAATTTTACATTGGCATAAGCGAAACATCTTTTAAAATTAGATATGCTAATCACATTAAATCTTTTAAAATTCCCAAATACAAAAATGACACTGAATTATCAAAGGAGGTTTGGAGATTAAAAGATGAAAACTTAAACCTGGTTGTTAGGTGGAAAATAATTAAACAGTGCGATGCCTATAACCCTGTAACAAAACGATGTAACTTATGCTTAAACGAAAAGTACAAAATTTTATTTTTTAAACACCCAAATTTGTTAAATAAAAAGAGTGAAATATTATCTAAGTGCCGGCATAAAAACAAATTTCTTCTTGCCCAATTTGACACTGGTGATTAGCAGTTTTACAACTATGCTTCTTTTATTCGTTTTTTATTCGTTTTGTTTTGACGTCGGAACTCATTCTACTGCTTTTTTTGTATTTTGTATTTTGTATTTTTTTTTTTTTTTTTTTTTTTTTTTTTTAACGGTTTTTTCTTGATTTGTATAATATATATGGCTGGAGATTGCTGATAGGCATGAAACTTTTAGTTCCATTATAAAGTTGTATTTTTCTATTTAATTACACTTTATTTATATATATATATATATATTGATCTATTTTGTAAAAATTATTTTCACATTATATTGATCACTCTCAAGTAAACAAGAGGATTTGTATCTCAACCAGATACAATAATAAACAACTATATATATATATATATATATATATATATATATATATATATATATATATATATATATATATATATATATATATATATATATATATATATATATATATACATATATATACATATATATACATATATATACATATATATATATATATATATATATATATATATATATATATATATATATATATATATATATATGTATATATATATATATATATATATATATATATATGTATATATATATATATATATATATATATATATATATATATATATATATATATATATATATATGTAGATATATATACAAATACAAAAATAGCTCACGCTCACAACTACCTCCATGCTTGTGTAAACTGGTTTACAAAAGCTATTTATGAGTTGCGCAAAAGTAAAAAAAATTATATATTTTTTTAAACTGCATGCTATATATTTTTTGCAGGCCTTAAGTATACCTTTTATTCTTGATAAATATAAAAAATTAAAAAAAAAGTTTATTTTTTTATTTTTCAGAGTGGTTATGAGAAGAGTTATAAAAACTATTATTGTTACATTAAAATATAATTTTTAAAAGAATCCCAAAGTGCAGAGATTAGTTGTGTTAATATTAAAGAGAATGGTCAAAAATAATATTTGGGCTGAGTTTTTTTTGAGTAAAACAAAATATTAGACGTACATCAAGAAAAACAAACTCTGTAGTTTTACTCAAAGCTTGTTGTCTCCTTGTTAGCATGTGTTTAGAAGTCTTTAAAATAAATACCACAATTTACAGACTTTATAATTTATTCAAGAGCATTTAATTCCAAAGAATTTTAGTATATAACGCCATTGTAGAATTTTAATAAGAAATCCAAAAATTGTTTTCTTCTAATAAGAGCTTTTTTTTTTTTTAGATTACTAAAGAATATTTTTAGTTTATTATTATTATATAAATTTTTTTTTTTCATTTAAATTACTTTAGATTTTCTTTTAGATTTTATTTTATTTTCTTAATTTTGCGAAGTTACCATTAAAAATATGAAAAAAATATTTCAGATATTATAAGCTTGTCTTGTATAATACATATAGGTAAGCTTGTCTATTGCTATAAACTAGTTTTATGTTATTATTGTTGTTAAATGATTATTATCTTTATTAAGATTCTGATAAAAAAATACTTTTGTATTATTTAACCTTACAAAGTTTAATTAACAGCCTTTATTCGCTAAACTTTTTATCGGGTACAAATATTTTCAAAATTCTTACTTTAGCATGTGAGAATATATTTAATGAAATTTATTCTGTAAAACATGTATTGCTTATTTATTCTGTAAAACATGTATTGCTTATTTATTCTGCAAAACATGTATTGCTTATTTTATTTTATATTTAAAACTGATCAATTATTGCTAAAAATTTCAAAAAAATACTGACTCAATTTTAAATTAAAATCATTTAAAGGAAAACTTTTTTATGTCAATTTTGGTAGTTTTTTGATTTGTAATGTTAAAAGACAAGGTTTATTGAAAAATATTCGTCAAATATGACATAAACTGGGAAATATTAAATATGTTTTTTAAAGTGCGTTCGGCAACACATTGACAGCTTTAATTGCCTTCTGTCTTGAAATATTGTTATAAAACATAAATTATTGCTTTAATTAATAAAAAGCTGTCTGCCAATTTGTTTAGTGTAAATACTATAAATATTTTTGAGCTAAAGAATTCGACAAATATCTTTATTAAATGATGTTGTTTACCAAAATTATTTATTAATTAAAAATTTATAAATTTGTAAAATGTCATTTTGATAGAAGAACAAAAATGTCATAATAAATGGGTTAGATAAACTAGAAAAAAAGTTTACATTGTTTACATAAAAAGAAAAAAAGAGAATATATAATAAAGTGATCAACGTTTTTTTTATAAATTTATTATATAAATATTTTTTTATATATTTATTATATAAATATTTTTTTATATATTTATTATATAAATATTTTTTTATATATTTATTATATATTTAAGAGTGTCATAATCATCATCATAAAAATCTTAATTTTATTTGATTCTGTGCTCAACAAAAAAAACATTCTTTTGTTTAGCTTCCTATAAAGTTTATAGGAAAGTCAGAGTTAGGGTTGATGAAAAACGCTTTGATGAAAAATGCTTTGTTGGAAACCAAATGCTTTGTTTGAAACCAAACCTTTGTTTTTATCAAACCTAGGTTTGATAAAAAACGCTTATTTTAAATAA